CGCGCGCCTGTAGTCCCAGCTACTGGGAGGCTGAGGCAGGAGAATCACTTGAACCCAAGAGGCAGAGGTTGCAGTGAGCCGAGATAGTGCCACTGCACTCCAGCCTGGGTAACAGAGCAAGACTCTGTCTCCAAAAAAAAAAAAATGAGAAAGAGCAGACAGGAAAGGTCTACATGAGAAAGTTAACATTTAACTTGAAATACGAAGGTAAAGGAGGAGTAGGGAGCTCCTTATTCCGGCTCCATGGGCAGGAGGCGGAGGGACAAGAGGAAGAGCTTTCTAAATAGAACAGCAAGAGCAAAAGGACTCACCAGGATTTGACATATTTGTGGAACAGAAAGTAAATCCAGTAACTGGAAAACGGTTAGGCAAAAGGGTAAGGAGAAGAGTATATGAAACCAGATTGAAAGGAGGCAGGGGCCAGATAATAAAAGACCTTGCCAGCTATGACATGAGTTTATACTTTATTTGAAGAGTTATGAGGAACTATTTACATTTTTCAAAGATTGAAATTATGTGTTTTAAAAAGATCACACTTTTGTATAAAAAAATCTTGCGCGACTAGGAAGCTTTTTATTTGCAATAGTTCATGTATGAAATTTGCCGAAAACTAATTTCCTTAGTATTCACTTTTTAATTTTTTTAATTTTTCTTTATTGTTAAATTTTCTATAGTTATTGGGTTTCCTTTTTAATCTTTTCATAAGTTGCATTCACTTTTTAAAAGACAATGAGATTTGTTTTAGCATAAACAGGAAATTCATGGCTAATACATGTCACGACTTAAATTCACCTCTAACTTAAGAAATGCATGTCAAACACATAAAATTATATTTTCCACCTATGAGCACAGTTTCATGGGAGTTTTGATTTTTCTAAAATATTTTTTGATGCAATATCCATTTTTTCTGTGTAATTTTGTCCTTTGTGATATTGTGGGTATTCATGATGCAGAATTTATTTTAAAAACTTATTTCTGTAATATTTATTTCTCCCTTTTTTTGAGACAGTGTCTCACTCTTGCCCAGACTGGAGTGTAGTGGCACAGTCTCAACTCACTGCCACCTTAACCTTCTGGGCTCATGTGATCCTCCTACCTCAGCCTCCTCAGTTGCTGGGACCACAGGCATGTGCTATCATACCTGGATAATTTTTTTATTTATATTTTTTGTAGAGATGGGGTCTCACTATATTGCCTAGGCTGGTATCAAACTCCTGGGCTCAAGCAATCTTTCTGCCTTTTTTTTTCTTAAAAGAATTGTTAACATACCAGATAATTTTTTTACAGTTTTTGCCACTTTTTCTGTGTCCTGCCTTTTAAAGGCAGACTTTTTAAACTATTGCTAAGGACTTGGACTCTTTCTTCCAAATCACTGGTACCCAATATGCAGGTTTTGGTACCTCTTTTTGCTCTGAAATTTCTTGGATCTCTTCAGAGGGATTTAACAAATTTCCTGTCCTTTTTCTTTTTCTGGTTTTGTTTTGTTGAGATGGAATATTGCTTTGTCGCCCAGGCTGGAGTACAGTGGTGCAATCTCAGCTCACTACAACCTCCACCTCCTGGGTTCAAGCAATTCTCCATGCCTCAGCCTCCACAAGTAGCTTGGATTACAGGCATGCACCACCACACCCAGCAAATTTTTTGTATTTTTAGTAGCGATAGGGTTTCACCATGTTGGCCAGGCTGATCTCAAACTCCTGACCTCAAGTGATCTGCTTGCCTCAGCCTCCCAAAGTACTGGGATTACAGGCATGAATCACTTAGCCCCCCGTCCTTAGAAACATTGAGGTATCATAGAAAATTCTTTTGGGCACATCACAGCAACAAAAGTTAACCCAGCTTTACCTATTTGTGAGTATCTTAAGTCTCCCAAAGCATTTGATTGTTGCTTTCCAAAAAAAGTACAGAATTGTGGTCATTCTCCCACGACTGTTCTTTACTAATATTGATTGCATCTGCTGCTCTATCCCCTTTCTGCATTCATAGTAACTTCTTTTTCCAATACTGAAGATTAATCTTCTGGGAGAGTTCTTTTAAAAAAACTTTTTTTTTCTGAAGCATAATACATAATAATACATAAAGGCATGCAGCTTTACGAATTTCCCCAAATAGAACACACTTAACCAGCCCCCAGATTATGAGAGCCAAATTAATACTTTTACTACTTTCACAATGTTCCCAGACTCATCTTTTAACCATCTTCCTCCTTTCTTGTGCTATTGTTGTGCTATTTAGTCTGATGTGTATTTTATAATCCACCAGATACTCTTATGTAAAGTCAATATTTCTATCAGAGTTGACAAACTTTGAAGGTCCAGAGAGTAAATATTCTAGGTTTTGCAGGCTATATATGGTCACTGTTGCATATTCTTATTTTTCTAAGCAGCTTTTTAAAGATGTTAAAATCATTCTTAGCTTAAAGGCCTTGATTTGGTCCATAGACCATAATTTCCTAACACCTGACTTGTATTTATAAACATATTTACCCCTCCAGTGTTACTTCTTTATTTCTGCATTTCCAAGTTTCTCAGATTTCATACTACATGAAAAACTAGTATTTCTTTCAGCATAAGTATGCTGCCATGTTTCCTCCATTGTTTTTATTCCGAAACACTTTTATTTCTGAAGGATATTTTAGCTCAGTATGAAAATAGAAGTTAGCAGTTTTTCACAGTGTAGATATGAGCCCCCTGGCCCCCACTGCAGTAGTCTGTTTTTTTTTTTTTTTTTTGAGACGGAGTCTTGCTCTGTCGCCCAGGCTGGAGTGCAGTGGCCGGATCTCAGTTCACTGCAAGCTCCACCTCCCGGGTTCACGCCATTCTCCTGGCTCAGCCTCCCGAGTAGCTGGGACTACAGACGCCCGCCACCTCGCCCGGCTAGTTTTTTGTATTTTTAGTAGAGACGGGGTTTCACCGTGATGGTCTCGATCTCCTGACCTCGTGATCCGCCCGTCTCGGCCTCCCAAAGTGCTGGGATTACAGGCTTGAGCCACCGCGCCCGGCCTACAATAGTCTTTCTTAAAGGGACCTGCCTCTCCCTCAGTTGAGAATATTTAAGACTGTGAACTGGCTTCAACCATATGTCAGATAGTATATTTGTGGCCTATCCATTTATTTCTAGGAACCCCATAATCATTTAGCCATTGCCACCTATATGGTTAAAATTCTCATTACCAGTGCATCCCCTGGACTCTGGTGCAAATTTTACCCAACCCCTCCCATGCCAAGATCCCATGATCTCTAGTGAAATTGGGATCTTACTTTCATTATAGAAGTTCTGCATCATCTACAATCTAGAGAGGGTAGGTACCACACAGTTGTCCAAGGATAGTGGTACAATGTATTTCTTAATACCCTGATGGGAGCGTTGTTTGGCCTTTCTCTCGCTAAGGGAACAAAATGGACATAGTAATTCATTCTAATATTTACATCTCCTGCTAAATCAGGGGTATCCAATCTTTTGGCTTCCCTGGGCTACACCAGAAGAATTTTCTTGAGCCACAATAACTGATAGCTGTTATTAGTGTTCATGTATTTTATATGTGGCCCAAGTCAGTTCTTCCAGTGTGGCCCAGGGTTGCCAAAAGATTGGACACTGGATTCCATCCAGTATGACTTTTCAGATACCTAAGAAGATTTTGCTACACTCATTACAATGGTAGTTTTCCCACAGTGTAATTCTCTGAAGTAGGTTCAAAATGCTGCAGAAAGTCACTCTACATTCATTTATACAGTTGCTTTTTCTCCTACAAGAGTATTAAAATGTAAGCATTGCATTGTAAATGAAGGCATTCCAAAATCATTGTTTGTATCACTTTGCTTAATTGGAGATTGCTCCAAAATAAATGTTCTCAATGTTGGCTGCACTAAACAAAAACTAGAGCGCAAAGATTTGATGTAGTAAGGGGTTGGCCAAGTTTTTCTGTAAAGGGCAAGATAGTAAATGTTTAGCCTTTATGGCAGTATATTAAACTCTTCAGTTGTAGAGGTAAGGAGCCATAGACTATGTAAATGAAATACCTGGCCCATGGGCTGTAGCTTGATGACCTCTAATATAGTTCATGAGGTGCATCCCCACAGAGTAAACAGTAGGAAGGAGAGTAGATGTGGAGCAGATAATGGGAGAAATCCAGTATACCCTTAAATAAATAAATAAATGAGTTTTTCATATCCTAATATTGCTGACAGTGTAACTTGATTTTTACCCTGATACAAACCATTGCTGCCTGAGAAAACCAAATCAGGTATTACATACCCATATGTAATAAGGCATGCTGCTTGTATTTGACTGTACACTATTGTAAGATAAATCAGCCCCTCCTAAACAACTCTTATGGAAAGTTGAGAAGCTTCTAAATGTATGTACCAATATGGCATGCCAATGGCAGGTTTGAAGAAATGTACTTCCAATAATGTATTTAGAACTCTAGTTCATGTAAATAAGGTGTTTTTGGGCTAAAACTTTTATAAATTTCAGATCTTACAAAACTACTTGTATTTAATAACACCTTCTACAAATGTGCCCTCAATGCAGCCATTAATGCTAAATTCATTCCTATTCATATTCTCTACTTCTCTTTCTACAAAATAAAATTGCTTACCTTCCTCATTAAAGCAAACTCACCCTGATGGTGTGAGCTTTGCCAGCTGGGCAGCTGATAATGCCAGAACAGTTTTAAATACATGCTTACAAAAGAATGGTTTTACTGTACATGGAACAAAACAGGAAGAGCACCTTGGTAATTTTCTGTGATGTATCTTATTTATACTTATTTCACACTGAATAACAACTGTCTATAGTCAGATTCAAGGATAACTGTCAGTTAGCATTACCTTAAATCCAAACTCGGTCTGAAAGTTAAAACCATAAAACACCTAAAAACACTTCTAGTTATGTTTGTATGTTTCAACAAAAAAAACACGACTCTTTTTTTTTTATGTCAATATTGTAGTTACACTTTTGGAATCACATGCTGTGGGAAAAAATCAGCAAGTAGAAGGTTTATAATAAACCAAAAGATTTATTTATAACATTTTCTGAATTCACTTAAAAAACAAAAAGCAATCCCCCTTCCCTCAAAATAGAACCCTTTCTCACAGATTCCATCCAGTATGATTTTTCAGATATCTAAGATGATTTTGCTACACTCGTTACAATGGTAGTTTTCCCACAGTGTAGTTCTCTGATATAGGTTTGAAATATTGCAGAAAGTTACTCTACATTCTTTTATACAGTTGCTTTTTCTCTTACGAGAGTATTAAAATTTAAGTATTGCATTGTAAATGAAGGCATTCCCGAATCACTGTGTTTGTATCACTTTACTTAAACATGAATATCCTGATCTCCAAAGTACATCTTTGTAAAGCTCATCCCTTGCCCATGCATTCTGTCCTGGTTGACGGTTGCAGAATGAGGGCTAATAATCTCTGGCTTTCTCCAATCTATTGGATATGTATTCTTTATTGGTAGGAATTTACACATGTAGAGTAAGGGAATCCTACCAAATGAAGTCTTCTCAATATTTCCAGATGGAAGAAGAATCTTCTCAACAATATCAATTTCACCTTGTTATTGGGAAAAAAAAAAAAAAAGGAGTGGTTATTAATGGCTTTTCCACATATTTCTGGGTTTTTTTCCTCCAGGATGTTGAATAAATTGTGGGCCATATTACTTCACATTCGTCACTCTCACATAAGGCTTCTTTCCAAGAGTTCTTCGAAGTAAAAGTAAGGCATTATACTTCTATAAAAAAAATTTCATACATTCGTAGTTTTTCTTTGCAGTGTAAATTCACTGGTGTTCAGTAAGGAATGAGTGGTAATTAAATGAATTTTCATATTCATAGGGGTTGTCAAGAGTGTGTGTTCTCTGATGTTTAGCGAGATTTGAGCTCCAGCTGAAGGATTTGTTGCATACCTTACATACATAGGGTTTCTCTCCAGTATGAGTTCTCTGATGTAGAATGAGGGAAAAGCTCCGGCTGAAGGCTTTATCACATTCAGCACATGCATAGGGTTTCTCTCCAGTATGAATCTTCGTATGTTGAATAAGGGATGCATGCCAAGTGAAAACTTTGCCACATTCATCACATTCATAGAGCTTTTCTCCAGCATGAATTCTCTGATGTTTAGTAAGGAATGAATGACAACGGAAAGCTTTCCTACATTCATTACATTCATATGGGGTTTTGGTTGTATGGATGCTTTGATGTCGAGTAAGGTGTGAGAAACGGCGAAATGCCTTCCCACATTCAATGCATTCATAAGGTTTCTCTCCAGTATGTGTAATCTGGTGGCGAATGAGTTCTGAGCCACTGCTAAATGCTTTCCCACATTTCCTACACATATATTGTTTCTTTCCTATGTGAATTCTCTGATGTCGAGTGAGGTTGGAGGCACGGCTAAAGGCCTTTCCACACTCAGTACATTCATAAGGTTTCTCCCCAGTGTGTGTTCTCTGGTGTTCAATAAGAAATGAAAGGTAACTGAATGTTTTATTACAATCCTTACACTCATGGGGTTTCTTTCCAGTATGTATCATTTGATGTTTCACAAGGTTTGAAATCTGGCTAAAGGTTTTGCCACATTCCTTACATGCATATGGTTTCTCTCCAGTATGAGTCCTCTGGTGTAACACCAGGGAAAAGCGTCGACCAAAAGTTTTTCCACACTCATGGCATCCATAGGGCCTCTCCACAGTACTGATATTCATATGTTGAGCCAGGGCTTCTTGATGAGAGACTGTTACTTTCCTAATACATCCCTTATTTTCTTGCAGCATCTCTGTATGATCCTTGCATTTCCAGCCTCCTTTAAAATTGGAATACACAGGGCCTTGACTTAGAATTCTTTCCATGATCAAATACTGGGATGAGTCATCATAAATGACATTTTTTGGTGAAAAGTCTTTGATGTCACCACTTGACTCTGAAACTGAAAGATACCAAAAAGAAGTGAATGTTCATTTTTCCTGTATTGAATAAAATAAGGCCATTTCTCCCTTCTTTAGCAACAGAATGAAGTTTTTAAAAATCATATCAGTAACAGCTTTCACAGCTGTGACTGAAATCTTGAGTAGTATGCCCAGAACTTAAGAAAAGATCAAATAGAGATAGAGATATAGGTAAATAAGGAGAAAGAGTAAATATAAGTAATTGAAAGAGTGGGGAAAATAGAGCTATCAGAAAGATAAGTATTTGTGAAGAACAGGTTGCTAGTCTTCTTCACTACCATTTAAATGGTACTGACTGCCAGAATTATCTAAAAATGGCAGTTTCATAATGCTGCTACTAAACACTGCAAGTGTTCATCAGATTGCACAAAGACATGAGATTCTGTTCATTTAGTGCCTTTGGAACCTTTTACAATAACTTACTCTAAATGAAAAAAAAAAGCAGTTTCTCTGAAAACTAGCCTATGATCCTCACTCCAACTCTACCCTCTGAACTATTATGAAGCTCATATTTGATACAATTATGTCTTTTCTGGGACCTATTTGAGGGTGGAAGGTGGGAGGAGGGTAAGGATTAAAAACCTATCGGGCATTATGCTGATTACCTGGGTGACAAAATTATCTGTACGCCAAACCCCCATGACACACAATTTACTCATGTAACATGAGTAACCTTTAACCTAAAATGAAAGGTGGAAAGAAAAATACGGTGTCTTAATATCAAATGTGTTTGGCAAACATAAGCCCTAATTTTCTCCATGCTAAATTTTAACAGTGGACTTCATCATTTTTAAATGGGAACAGATTTTTGAAATAATATGAAATGTCTCCTTAAAAATACATTCATACTCTTGGCCAGGCTCAGTGGTTCACACCTGTAATCTCAGTACTTTGGGAGGCCAAGGCAGGCGGATCACGAGGTCAGGAGATTGAGATCAGCCTGGCTAACACGGAGAAACCCTGTCTCTACTAAGAATACCGGGCACGGTGACTCACACCTGCAATCCCAGTACTTTGGGAGGCCGAGACAGGCGGATCACGAGGTCAGGAGATCAAGACCATCCTGGCTAACACAGTGAAACCCTGTCTCTATGAAAAATACAAAAAAATTAGCTGGGAGTAGTGGCAGGCGCCTATAGTCCCAACTACTCAGGAGGCTGAGGCAGGAGAATGGCGTGAACCCAGGAGGCGGAGCTTGCAGTGAGCCAAGATCGCGCCACTGCACTCCAGCCTGGGCGACTGAGTGAGACTCTGTCTCAAAAAAAAAAAAATACAAAAAATTAGCCGGGCATGGTGGCATGCACCTGTAGTCCCAGGTACTCAGGAGGCTGAGGCAGGAGAATCGCTTGAGCCTTGGAGGTAGAGGTTGCGGTGACCAAGACTGTGCCACTGCACTCCAGCCTGAGTGACAGAGCGAGACTCTGTCTCAAAAAAAAAATTCGTATCTTTAGGAAACCTACACTTAAGTGTATAGCGGTAAAAAGCCATAATATATAAAACTTATTCTCAAATGTTTCAGAAAAAAAAATCATACGTCAAATGATAAGGCAAATGGGTATAAGCAAAGATGAATGTGGGCATTCTTTGTACTAACAACTTTTACATAAGTTTAAAATTCCCAGTAATATCTAAAAATATATTTTTCATTTCAGTCAAATGTACATTGACACTTTGGAAAAAATGTTATCTGTTATCACTCTCACTGCAAGCTTTTAAGGAAAAGTAGAATGTACATTTCTTTGATGAAGTATTTAATACATATCTCAACAATGGATCAAGATCTGTACCTATACAGTAGGTACACAAGATACATGAAAGATTAAGATAGGGGAGGCAGTGAGACAGCTATTAAAATAATTATGTCAATACAGATAAAACTTTAAATTCCTTTCTTGCCTCTTCTTTAAACCAACTCTGTATCTACTGAGTACCTAAATAAGAGCCCTGTAGATGTAAAGTGAGGAACTGAGGATAGAAATAGGGAAAGAGAACACAGAAGAAAATATTGATATAAGACACAAGAACAAGTTCATTATACTTAGGGTAAACATTGTATCAAAGACCAGAGATCAGATATAAAAATCCACTGCAGTAGATAAAGGCTTCATCTAGCAGTGCTTCAAGGAAATTTGTTGGGAACTGAAATACACCAAGTGAACCTGGACATTTAAAAAAAAAAATAGAAAAAGCTGTTGGGGCCGGGTGTGGCTCATGCCTGTAATCTGAACACTTTGGGAGGCTGAGGCTGGAGGATCACTTGTGTCCTGGAGTTTGAGACCAGCCTGAACAACATAGTGACAAAGTGAGACCTGTGTCTTTACCAAAAAAAAAAAAAAATTTAAACATAGTAGTGTGCATCTGTACTTCTAGCTACTTGGCAGAGTAACGTGGAAGGACTGCTTGAACCCAGGAATTCAGGCAACAGAATGTCACCCTGTCTTTAAAAAAAAAGGGGGGGGTTGTTGGACTGGTACGATGTTATCATTAGATATGAAGAATAAGCTCAAGTGTTCTCTTGCATGGTAGGGTGATTATAGTTAATAAGTATCTTTCAAAATAGAAGTTTTTAATGCTCTTGTCACATAGAAATGATACACATTTGAGATAATGGATTTGCTAATTAACTTTATATGATCATTATACAATGTATACATGTATTGAAACATCACATTGTACTTCATAAACATGTACAGTGATTGTGTCAATTAAAAAGAAAAAAGAAAAAATGGGGTTAATTCCACAGATTATTTGCCATATGATTTCTCACAACAATGAGAGTAAAAAAACACAATCAAGAAAACAATGTTGAAGATATAAAAGTAGAATGCTAATTACATGTCCCTTCACCCACTTCCCTTCCTCAATCACCTCACCTCTTCCCATCTCCTACTATACCTCCATACTCTTTAATAGATGCCAAATGGATTTGAGGAAATTCAGTGCTTATTAAAAGCCTATAGATACAAGGTTTCTTTTTATCATTTTTTTTAAGAAACGGAGTCTCAGCCGGGCGCAGTGGCTCACGCCTGTAATCCCAGCACTTTGGGAGGCCGAGGTGGGCAGATCACTGGCTAACATGGTGAAACATGTTTAGTAGAGACGGTGAAACCCGTCTCTACTAAAAAATATAGAAAGTTAGCTGGGCGTGGTGGCGGGCGCCTGTAGTCCCAGCTACTCAGGAGGCTGAGGCAGGAGAATGGCGTGAACCCGGGAGGCGGAGCTTGCAGTGAGCCAAGATCGTGCCACTGCACTCCAGCCTGGGGGACAGAGGGAGACTCCGTCTCGAAAAAAAAAAAAAAAAAAGAAACAGAGTCTCTCTCTGTCACCCATACTGGAGTCCAGTGACACAATCTTGGCTCACTGCAGCTGCTGCCTCCCAGGTTCAAGGAATTCTCCTGCCTCAGCCTCCCGAGTAGCTGGGACTACAGGCACACACTGCTACGCCTGGCTAATGGTTTGATTGATTCATTGATTTTTGTATCTTAGTAGAGACAGGGTTTCACCGTGTTGCCCAGGCTGGTCTTGAACTGCTAAGCTCAGGCAATCTGCCCGCCTCAGCCTCCCAAAGGGCTAGGATTACAGGCATGAGCCACCAAGGTTTCGTTCTTGATGTAATAAAGGATTCATTTGATAAACCAGCAAGTAATATACTCAAAGGAAATTTTTTAGATGTATTCACTCTTTTCTTGGGAAAACGGCCCAATATCTTCTGTCGCCAACGTTATTTAAGATCAATACAGGAAGAAGGAAATTATGGAAAATGATGGCAGGGAGACTTGCAGTTTCCAGTCTGACTTACAAGGATCTTAGAAGTCACTACTCTGTCCTAACAACAAGTGAAAAGTTGAACAAACTAAACTCTTGTAAGATCCCTCAGAGAAGTACAGTAACAGGGCAAACAACTGCCCCCAAAATGAGACAGGAAGATACGGTGAGTGACAACTCACCAGAAGAGAAACCCACAAGCAGAAGCCTCTGCAGGAACCAGTGCTGGGATAGGAGAACTTGCACTGTAATTGGTGAATAGCTGGAAGCTCAGTGGGACAAGTCTGTGGCTCAAAACTCTAGTCTTGGGTGTTCCTAGGGTTCTGTGAGTGTCACCTTCAGGAGCTCTATCCTGTTTTCAGAGTGAGTATTGGAGAAAACTTCCCCTGTGTTTTTGGAAGGGCTAAGATAAAAATAGCCATTTTTAAAAATAGACCAGAGTATTCCATTCTTAACAAGGCCTGCCCTCAGGAGAAAATATTTTACCAGAGCCTAACCTACCCTTGGGAAAGGAAATACCAAACTCTAGCCAGCTCTAGCCTTCCACTAAGGGAAAGGGAAATATCCTACTCCGGCCCCTTCTAGCCATCCTGTCCCACATAAGGTGGAAAAAAAAAAAGAACTAATTAAGTTCTTAGTCCAGAAGCACAGGCTTACCATAATTTTAAGATTACAAAATGCTTCTCTTCCCCCAACACCTTACCACTACATTACGAAAGGCAGTTTCTTTTACTCAGTACATCATGTCCACCCTTCAACATAAAATTATGAGGTATATTAAATGGCAAAAAAAAAAAAAAAGTTTGAACAGACTGAATAAGCATCAGAATCTGAGACAGATATGGTAGGGATGTTGGAATTATCAGTCCAGGAATTTAAGAAACTATGATTAATACGCTAACAGTTTTATTGAGAAAAAGTACACAAGATGCAAGACAAGATGGATAATGTAAGAAATGAAAATTTTAAGAAAGAATCAAAAAGAAATACTAGAAATAAAAATTCCTGTAATGAAAATAAAGAATGCTTTCAATAGGCTCATGAGTATTGTGTGTGGATATCTCAATATAAACATCCAAAACTGAAAAAGAGAGAAAATATTGAGGGAAAAAAAATTATCCAAGAACTGTGAGACATCTACAAACGGTGTAACATATGCATAATAGAAACACTAAAAGAGAAGGAAGAATAGAAGCAGTATTTGAGGAAATGATGA